GGTACGCGCAGTCCATGTGCCCGTCCCAGCAGTACGTCACCGGCCGAGGGAGGGAGAGGCAGACAGGGGTAAACGAGACCGGGAGACACAAAGAAGAAAAACCGGATGGGATAGGTCCGACAAAGGAAGCATCCAAAAAAAAAAATCCCCCCCCAAGACCGAAGAATGCCGGGCAAATGGGCTAACGGCAGCACCAAGCCGAAAATTCCAACACCACCACCACCACCACCACCGGAAGACGCCCACGGTATTGCCCTCCACTTCTCTGTCCCACCCTCTCTCTTGCCTCCTCGCTTTTCCTTTCCATAAAGCAACCAACGGAGCTAATTTATCGTGAGAAAAGGACCTAAATAAACCCCGGGTTAGAGATCACGCCCTTGCGTCCTGTTTTCCCGGCCTCGAACACGAACGAACGCAACCTCCGCGTGTGCTCTAAGCGGACCCAACCCACCCGCCCTCTCTGCCTCCCACGTGATCCCTACGCAGCAACCGGAACGATTGAAGGATGGTGGTGCTGACTGCTTACCAGCGACAGCGTGCCGGCGATGCGAGGGGCGTCCAGCAGGTCGCTCGGCTCGTTGAGCTTCGGGACGGTCGCCAACACACCGTATCGCCTTTTTATCAAAAAAAAAAAAAATGCGTGCAAATATAATCAAATTGTGCCCGCCGTTAGCAGGAAGACGGTGGGAGTAGTAGCGCCGGCGGCAAGGCGGGGGGCGCGTCAAGCCAGTCAACCGCCCATGAGCACCAGGATGAGGCAAGGATTTCGTTGCGAGGGCGGGTTCACGCTGCAGGGAGCTATTATAGTCTACACTTAAAACCATCACATAGATGGCCCTGGCGGAGTAGGTGGGGGGTAGAAGGACATGGTAGCGGCAGTCACCAACGTATACCGTGATATAAACGGGGATCGTTCAGGATAAAGAGAAGAGTGACTGGCCCTCTGGCGAACAAAATCAGAGAGAGAGAGAGGAGCCTTTCTTGTGTCACCGGCAAAAATATACGTATTTTCCACCATGTAAATAAAAGTGATTTTCCGCCGCCACGTTTTGCGCTGATTTGAAGCGCCAAGACAAAAAAAGAAGAAAAAAAAATCTGCATATCTACACGCTGCACAAAAAAAGAAGGGGGGGGGGGGACCCACCGAAGGTTCGCGAAAATGAGGCGGGAGTTGGTCACCAAAAAAAAAATGGCCATGAGGTTCAGCAGGCCGCGGTAGTTCTGGGTCGAGGACGCGCCGGCGCTCAAAATGCTCATCTTGGCCTGATCGTTCCAACAAGAGAGGGCGGGGGGGGAGGCGTATACAGGGGGTAGGGCCGCGCTCATGAGACAACACGTCACCGCATGAATACCCACGTCTCTCCTGTAAGTCGAGGTCTCCATGACGAAGCCGACAACTTGGGAGGACAAGGGCGTTTTTTGTTGCGACGCCTTCACAAAAAAAAAAAAAACGCTGCGCTGATGCCGTACGGCAGTACTCATGCGCTGCCTTGGGGGCTTCGCTGCAGGGTAAAGGCTCTGGCACTGAACGGTTGCAATACAACTGAACACATACCCCCTTGGCGCGGATTCTTGAGCTGCTGTTGTTGTTGTTGTTGTTGTTGTTGTTGTTGTCTTCACATGAAAAACCGTTCCGTTTCTCTGCCCAGTACCCTCTTCTGTCTGTACTAGTCTACCACTTGACGGGGTCGATTCCCGTGGTCACAGGCTAACTTACCCAAAAAAAGGTATACGAAAATTAAAATGAACCCGAAGGGTCCGCAAGTCAACAGGAGCTGTGTTGCGTCTAACTATGTTTTATGTCTCAGACAACAGCAGTGCTGTGTCTTAAAAAAAAAAATGTCATGAGTCTCAAAACGGTGCTCCTTGCTTACCTCCTTGTGCATCGGGCGGCTCGCCGGGTACCCCGTCGGCTCGAACTTCTTCTTCTTCTTCTTCGCCTTGACCATCGTCTTCCGCTTGTCCTGCTCGTCCCTCGCTACCCCTTGGTCGGAGACCCTCACGCTGCGATCAAGGGGGTCGTCTCCGTCTAGCCGCCCGATGCTCACCTCCTGGGTCAACCTTCGGTACCAACGGGGGGGGGGGGGGG